TGAGCGGCCTTAGCATATCATTAGCATATTACACTTTGATTGGTTGAATGGCCTACCAGTTGACCAGACACTTAGCATATTAGGCTTTTATTATATAGGATTGATTTCAGACAAAGGGAGAGGGAGAGAGAGAGAGAAAAATATCAATGATGAGAGATAATCATTGATCCGAAGCCTCCTGCATGCCCCCTCCTGAGGGTCAAGCCTGCAACCCATGCATGTGCCCTAAATGGAATCAAACTGTGACCTCCTGGTTCATGGGTCAAGGCTCAACCACTGAGCCATACCAGCCAAGCTCAATTGTTCACTTTTAAATGCTTATTTTTATGTCAATGTTACATTAAAAAGTTGCCCATAAAAAATCAACTTGCCATATTTATGTGGATCTAATTCTGGACTTTTTATTCCATTGATCTATGTGTCTGTCTCTTTACCAACTGAACCACACCAGCCAGGGCTATAAGAGTGCCTCTTAACTCAAAGAAGAATAGTTTGGAAATGTGAACTTCTCTTTAGGAGGACAAATAGCTTTAATGCTGGGTAATGCTTACTCACGATAGTTACAGGATGAAGAAACTTTTTAAAAATTATTATTTGTGTGTGTGTGTGTTTTGTTAATCCTAACCTGAGAATATTTTTCCCATTGATTTTTAGAGAGTGGGAGGTGGAGAGACATAGAGAAACATTGATGTGCTTCCCGCATGCACCTGCAACCAAGGGCATGCACCTGCAACCAAGGGCATGCACCTGCAACCAAGGGCATGCACCTGCCCTTGACCAGAATCGAACCTGGGACCTTTCAGTTCGCAGGTCGACGCTCTATCCACTGAGCCAAACTGGCTAGGGCTGTTGTTGTTTTACTTATATTTTGACTTTTACCTATAGTCTTGTAAGTTCCTAATGTTCCCATCAGTGTTACATCAGCTTGGTGGAGCATTTATAGGAACTAGATCTTTCCTGAGGGCCAAAGGCCAAGTGAAATGGAAAAAAAAGTTTCAAAGCTCTAATATAAGACCCACCTCTATTAAAAACAGCCCAGGTAATACTGCAGAAACACACAGCACACATCTCAGTGATTAAACACAAATGTTTATTTCTTATTCCCACAAAGCCCATTATAGGCCTGGGGGACTCACAGAACAGCTAACCCACTATGTAAGGGACTCAGCATTCTAGACTGGTTTGATCTCATGACACCTCTCTCTATATGTGCTTCCACGATTGAGGCAAGAAAGGAGAGCACTAGAGAGTCTTGTACCAACAAATAAATGCTTCATCCCAGAAGTGAGGCTTCTGCTAGCAACCCACTGAACAAAATGACCTGATGACCTTGTCTAACTACAAGGAGTAAAGCATAACCTTTCTCTTATTTACTGTTCACTAGAATACAAGCTCCATGTGGATATCCATTTTTTTTCTTTTTTAAAATATATTTTATTGATTTTTTATAGAGAGGAAGGGAGAGGGATAGAGAGTTAGAAACATCGATGAGAGAGAAACATCGATCAGCTACCCCCTGCACACCCCCTACTGGGGATGTGCCTGCAACCAAGGTACATGCCTTTGACCGGAATCAAACCTATGACTCTTCAGTCCGCAGGCTGATGCTCTATTCACTGAGCCAAACCAGTTAGGGCCATTTTTTTTTCTTGTTCACTATTATATCCTTGGTCTAGAACAGTGCCTAGGTGCATAATAGGCCATCATTAAATTAAGTAAGTGAATGAATGTACTACCAACAAGAAATTCACATGTATCTTTGGAGAAGAGATGAGTCCCAGGGATCTAAAGCTGAGGGTGTTGGGTAAGAGCTACTCAGACTAAAGCTTCAGAGCTGGCCATGCTTAAGAAATAATTGTTGGTGGCCTGCCAGTGTAGCTCAGTGGATAAGTGTGGACCTATGAACTAGGAGGTCATGGTTTGATTCCTGGTTAGGCCTGGGTTACAGCCTCACTCCCCAGTAGGGGGCATGTAGGAGGCAGCCAATTGATGATTTTCATCATTGATGTCTCTAATTCTCTCTCCCTCTCCCTTCCTCTCTCTGAAATCAATTTAAAAAAGTATTTTTTTTTAAAATGATCATTAAAAAAAAAAGTACTTGGTGTAGTTCAACTTTTGGAAGAAAACAATTCCCACTGAAGAAGCCAGACCAAAAACTCAGGTGATATATACAAAAAAACCACTGAAGCCACGAACCAAATCAATTCAGCATAACCACCACAACCAGTGCTCAACTCCTGAAAGAAGCTGCAAGAGCCACAAATGCATCTACTCCTTAAATATAGTCAGTTCACCCAATATATCTGGAAAGCAGGAGAAAGGGAAAGAAATGCACATTGATTAAGCATCTACTATTGGCCAGGCTGGTAGGTGCTTTTCTTTCATCAATCCCTGTAATTCCCAGATCAACCCTGAGGTGAGTGTTTTTCTATACAGAGAAAATGGAGACTGGCTGGTGCCTGAGGGGAGGGGGATGGGGTGACAGGATAAAGGTGATAGGATTAGCTAAAGAACATATATACATACCCCATGGATGCGGACAACAGTTTGGTGAAGGCCGAGGGATGGGGAAGCAGGGGTGGGTGGAGGTGGGCAAATGGTGGGGAAGAGGGGGACACCTGCAATTATGTCAACATTAAAAAAATTTTTAAAAAGAAGAGAGAAAATGGAGACTTAAGAGTGTTTCAGTAACCAATCAAGAAACAAAAATGTTTCATAAGCTGAAAACAGATATAATACAATGTTATCTAGTATGACTCCACAGAGATAACATACAAAGTCCTGACAATCCTGCCTTCAGGTCTGACTAAAGAAGCCAAGTGACAGCCAACAGACCCACTAGCTTTGGGGTCTTGAACAAGTCCCTGTATCTCTTTGTGCCTTAACTTCCTCATTTATAAACTAACTAGAGGCCCAGTGCATGAAATTCATGCACTGGGGAGGGGGGGGGGTGATCCCTCAGCCCGGCCTGCACCCTTTCACAGTCTGGGACACCTGGGGGATGTCTGCCTGTGGGCTTAGGGAGCGGGCCAAAGCCAACAGTTAGACATCCCTCTCATAGTCTGGGACCCCTCACTCCTTACTGCCTGCCTGCAGTGGAGGCAGAAGAAGCTTCTGCCACCGCCACTGTGCTTGCCAGCCATCAGCCTGGCTACTGGCTGAGCGGCGCTCCCCTGTGGGAGCGCACTGACCACCAGGGGGCAGCTCCTGCATTGAGCATCTGCCCCCTGGTGGTCAATGCGCGTCACAGTGACCGGTCATTCTGCTGGTCATTCCGCTGTTGAGTTGATTTGCATTAGGGTTTTATTATATAGGATAGATTTGGAAGAGATAATTTAACCACTTTCCTGATACTACCTAAAAGCTCTAACAAGAACACATCTGAATCAAAGGTAAAAATAGATAAAGCGTGAGTTATAATATCTACTGCCTATAGGTTTTCAGCAGTCTATTAAGCATCAACCAAGACTACTATTAAATGCTGAAGAAAACAGATACAGGTAGACCCTACCTAATAGTTTACAGTGTAAGACAACCAATATGGATGTGGATTAACTCACTTTTGCCAACCACTCTGCATCAGTTCCCAAAACTATCCTTTTGGAAACCTGGTACCCTGCTGAATGGATTCCTGGGTCACCATGTACAGTAAAACACAGGATACTGCCTACAGCACATGTTCCAGTTCCCAGACACACAAATCTCTCCTGATTCTTAATAACAAAAGCCAAATGAAAAAGAAAACAAAATCCTGAGAAGTGAATCCAGGACTCCCATTTCTTTTAGGCCTCAGGAAAGTACTAATTTTTATGGCTATGTTATCCTATTGACATTATGAGGAAAGGAAACAATCTAGTTTCTTTTATTGCAGAAAAATTTTCTTTACATCTAATATATTATTCCATGGCTAAAAATTCCAACCCAACCTATATAATAAAGAGGTGATATGCAAATTAACCCCCACACCCTCACAAAGATGGCTGCCTATGACCAGGCCAGCAGGGGGGATAGTGAGGGACGACCAAACGACTGAACAAGCAAGCTGCGTGGGGCAACCAGGCCAGCGGGGGGGGCTGTGAAGGGTGACCAGGCTGGCGGGGGGGTGGGGGGGTCAGTTGGGGGCGACCAGGCCGGCAAGGGGTGCAATAAGAGGTGATCAGGCCGGTGTGGTGGGGGGACAGTTAGGCATGACCAGGCTGGCAGGTGGGGGTGCAGTTGGGGGCAATTAGGCTGGCAGGGGGAGAAGTTAGGGGCAACTAGTCCAGCAGAGGGGGGCAGTTGGGGGTGACCAGGCCTGCTGGGGGGGCAGTAAGGGGTGATCAGGCCAGCGGGAAGGGGGGCAGTTAGGAGCAACCATACCACCCACCTCCCCCCACCGTGCAAGAATTTCGTGCACCAGGCCTCTAGTTTATATATCATCTCATTAGAAATGTTTTTCTTTTTTCAAATACCACCAATGAGATGCATAGGATAGTGCATTATTAGTTATCTGGCAGATTCCCTAGTGGTGAAGTAAATATGATTTCATCAAAGTAAAATTTGAGCTAATACAATTCAAGAGCTAAAGTTCCTAAAAAGTTCAAGAAAAAAACTCACACAAAGTCCAATGATGAGAGAGGAAGAAAATCCGATTAGGTTCTTAGGAAACTTTACATTAGAATTCATTTCTATCCTATGAGACTAATGAAATTTTTAAGCTTGCTACCTTGAAGACAATGGTATGCAATTAAACAAGCGTATTATTGCTTTTTGTTTTGGAAGACCATGCTACAAATGTTTCTATCACATGCGTTTGAGTGGCTGGGCAGATCAATGAAAAGCCAACACTATTTACCTCTATGACCACAGATGACTGATTGATTTTATGGCTTCATCTGCTGTCTGAAACTGAATTTGCTATTTTGGCAGGTACAATCCTAAAACAGTTTTTTTCCATTTTTAGAATGTTCCTAGAACACCAATCTTGCTATGGAATTCCCTATAGATTATAAGTAAACACGGTAAGTAGAAAAACTTTAATTCATCCCATGCAGAGTTGAACCTGATTCCTTTCTGTGTAATATTCCACTGATGAAAAAATCATGCTTCATAATTTTCTATTTTTTCATAAACTTTAGTGTCAAGTTCCTCTTGGTGAATTTGTTCAGACTGAGGACACTGGACGATCTTCCCTTCACTGGTGGAGTTTCTGGTGCCTAAGAAGGCTTGACCGCCTGCTGAAGTTTCTTCTGCATATGTTACAGGAATAAGGCTGCTCACCTGTGTGGGTTCTCCGATGTTTAATAAGGTGGGAGTTCTGACTGAATTTTTTCCCACATTCATGACATGTAAAGGGCTTCTCTCCAGTGTGAATTCTTTGGTGTGTGTGTAGATTTGTATTTTGACTGAAGCTTTTCCCACACCATGAGCATTTATATGGTTTTATCCCTTGGTGTGTTGTTAAGTGCTTATTAAGATCTGAACTCCATCTAAACCTCTTATCACACTGTGGGCATTTATACGGTTTCTCTTCAGTGTGAACTCTTTGGTGCTTAATAAGGTCAGAGCTAACTCTGAAGTTTTTCCCACATTCCTGGCATTTAAAAGGCTTCTCTCCTGCACGTTCTTTCTTGTGACGATCCATAAGTTTCAGCAGCTCTTGTTTCCAGGTTGAAAGTTTCTTTCTTTTCTTCACTGAAAAGTCTTGGTGCCATTTCCCCACCCTATGTATATCACCATGATTTTCTTTGACTGTTGTTTTCTGGGAAACTTTCACTCTGACCTTTTTTGATATTATGTCTCCAGGAGCTTGTATTTCTAAGTCAGAAGGACATATAGGCTGATGATTTTCAGTATCATTTTTGAGCTTTAACCCTGTTGGAATTAATATGACAATCAGCCAACTGAGTGGCAGAGCAAGAAAACCACAGGAATGGAGAGGAAAAAACATCAAAGATCACTGATTTGTAGTACAAGATAAGTAGAATCTTAAAATGTTAATTCCTTGCAAAGATTCCTATTAAGGCACATTTCTCCTCTTCCCATAGTGTATTTACCTATAGGCAGCTCTCCAGGACTATCCATGATCTCTGTGGATCCTTGAACCCATGGCTCTTTCCCTTGTTCTAGACAGGAGATGACTTTAGGTTTGGGGAGCACAAATATGGCTGTGAAATGAAAAAACTGAGGTCAAGGATTGCTAACTTAACAATGGTTCACTAATTCAAGATATTTCAAGTAAGAATAAAGAACACTTACAATTTGTTATCCCCAAATGGTTAAATGGTTAGACTCTCATATCAGCTATTAGTTTTATACTACACTGCATTTGTAGGTTGATATGCGAAGTGGAGATTAGCTTGGTCGATAGAAAGGACATAGTCATGGGAATTTTGTGCATGTTCGTTCCCCTCTTCTGCCACCAATAACTGCACACTTGACCAAGTTGGACTAAAACTCCAGAGATTTTAGAGTCTTATTAACTCTTTAAGAGTCACCTGAATAAGACCAGGCCTAGCAGAGCCAATGTGAAGGTCAGTGGATTAGGAATCATATGCCCAAGTGATTTCTGCCATAATTATAGTAGTCTTTTATTTTGCTCTTGAGCACCAGAAACTGAACTAGGAAATATTTCTATCACTCCTGCAGCTCACTGGTTCGTATCCAGTTGGACAAAACAGATCAGCATCATTTAGTGGACTTTTTCTACATACAAATTTCCAAGGATAGAAAGTATTCATCATTCAATATTTCAACAAATATGTATTAACTGGCTATGGCATGCCAAACACTTTCTATGAAATAGGAATATAATGGTGAATAAGCCAAAATCCCCTGATCTCATAGAACTTATCTTCTAGTGGGAAACTGAGGCAATCAAACATCAAAAAATGGACAAAAGGAAGTATCAAGAAGTAATAAATGTTTCTGTGTGTTTTTTTTAATTCTCACCCGAGGATATTTTCCCATCGCTTTTAGATAGTAGAAGGGAAAAAAGAGAGAGTGACAGAGAGAGAAACACTGGTGTGAGAGAGATACATTGACTCCCACATGAGCCCCGACTGGGCCAGGAACAACCCATGACCTTTTAGTGCATGAGCCGACGCTCTAACCACTTAGAAACACCAGCCAGGGCAGGAAATGATATATATTTTTTTAAAAACTGAATCAGGGTAAGAGAGCATTTAAGATTCTGTTTTTACCCTAGCCGGTTTGGCTCAGTGGATAGTGTTGGCCTGTGGACCAAAGGGTCCCGGGTTCGATCCCGGTCAAGGGCATATACCTTGGTTGCCATCTCCTCGGGCCCTGGCCCTGTTTGAAGGCAACCAATCCATGTATTTCTCTTACATCGATGTTTCTCTCAGTCTTTTCCTCTCTCTTCCACTCTCCCTAAAAATCAATGGAAAAATATCCTCAGGCGAGGATTAACAAAACAAACAAACAAACAAAAAAAGAACAAAGATTCTGTTTCTGTGAAGCTATTTGAGATATGGCTATGTGGAAGACTTCTTTGAGAAAGTGGTATTTGAGCAGAACAAAAGGTGCAAGTTTTGTCATACAGCAGAAAAGTATGTCAAGTAGAGGAAAGGGGAAAGTAGAAATGAGCATGGTTATTTCAAAAAACAGCAAGAAGCCCTGGCCAGGTAGCTCAGTTTGGTTAGAAAGTCATCCCAATACGCCAAGGTTGCAGGTTTGATCCCCAGTCAGAGAACATACAAGAATCAACCAATGAATGCATAAATAAGTGGAACAACAAACTGGTCTCTCCCTTTCTCCCCTCCTTTCTTTCTAAAATCAATACATTAAAAAACAAAACAAAACAAAACCGCTTCCAAGAAAACCAGTGTGGCTAAAGAGAACTGAACAAGGGCACAAGCTGTAGAAGATGAAGGCAGAAAGGAGAAGAGACACCAGATTTTGAAGGGTCTGAGAACTTTGATAAGGAAAAGTTTTAATTTTATTCTGAATGTGGTGAGAAGTCATCATAAGATTTTGAAACAGGAAAATATCATAATCTGATTAGGTTTTAAAGACTCTGGCTGCTGGATAGAAAACGGAGTATTGGAGGGCAAGAGTGTTGGTACCATCAGCCAATTAAAAAGCTACTAAGATGGGCCTGGTTTGAGATGATACTGATTTAGACCAGGATGCTAATAAGGCAAGAGGGTGAGACATAGTTGGACTTAGGTTATACTGTGAAGATGGAACCAAGAGAATAGTGATATATTAGTAGTGGAGTATGATGACAAGATAATGGGAAAGAATGACTATGTGTCTTGCTCTGAGCTACTGAGTTGATCTTTACTGAGATGAAAAAGATATGAGAAGAGCAGGTTTAAGGGAAAGAGACCCAGAATTCTATGTAGGATAAGGAATGTGTACTTGGAAAAAGCTCCCAGGTGATCTGGATATACACTTTTCCTCTGCAAACATCAAGTTGAGAATCAACTAAGTACTGGAACAGACTGTCCCTCAGGGGAGTATTCACAGTAAGATGAGAACATGACAGATTACTCAGCTTCTATACAAAGGGAAGGGAAGAATATTTACCTAGAGAGATGACAGTCTCATAGTTTTCCTGCATTACATCATTGTATAGGGCCTTCTGACCCGGATCCAGTAATTCCCATTCTTCTTGGGAAAAAAACACGGCCACCTCTTCAAATGTCAATAAGGTCTAAAGAAGAGAATGGGCTTCAGCTCAGTACCTGCGACTCCAGAAGTAGCTTTAATATCTGGCCCATGAAATTAATAGTAGGCGAGGCACTGAAGGAATTAATTTTTTTAAGTGAGAAGGCAGAAAGGAAGGAGGTAAGGGATCAGCAGTCTGGGAGGTGTCTAGTTCCCTAGGGAGAACATCTGGGCTAACATGTCTCTGAGCACCTGCTGGGCAGTGTGGGTCATGGGCAGCAGGGAAAGGCAGCCCTGAAGAGCTCAAAAGCATAGCTCACCTGGGACTCAGGCAAGATGAGCTCAGGTGCCACTGTCCAGTCTTTGGTGTTTGTCTGCTCAGGAAAGTATAGGATCTGGTGAGTAGGCACAGCTGTGGATGGAAAAGAGCCATAGGAAATTTCTCTTGCTTCTATGAACATCCTGGGCACATTTCTAAAATATACAAGATCTGATTCTTTCAGTAGAAATGGGACTCGTTTACAAGTGGCTATCAGCCCTACAACCAGTTCCCAAATTGACTGTGTTCAGTTTTCATGACTGAAGTCAATAAAAGGAAGTCTCATTTTTTTCCCTACATTACCTAAATTATTCTGAGTTGGACAAAAATTAGAGGTGTCTGAAAAAGTAGGAGAGTCCAGTGTGTCAGGTAAAGGAAGTAGGAAGGTAAAAATGAGCATAGCAAGTTAAGGAAACAGCAAGAAGACTAGTGTGGCTAAAGTGGACGGAGCCAGGATACAAGTGGCAGGTAGGTGAGTAGGAGCTAGATCTTGGAGGGGCCTACATACCTAATAAGGAGTTTAGATATTATTCTGAATTGAAGCAGAGAACTGTCATATCTCATCAGTTTTTTTAAACACTCTGACTGCTTTGTGGAAAACAGACTATGGAAAGGTAAGAGTGGTGTCAGGGCACTAGTTACAAAGCTGGTTAGAGAAGCCACTGGCTTAGACCAGAATGCTAACAGGGTAAGAGAATGAGACATGGTTGGACTCAGGCTATGATGCAAAGGTGGAGCCAAGAGGACTAGTGATGCATGAGTAGTGGAGTATGAATGGCAAGTTCAGACTAAAGCATGTCAAACTCGTGGCCAATAGGCTGCATGCCTCATTGATGGCACGCAGCCCACCAGCCACGAGTTTGACATGCTTGGACTAAAGGATGACGCAAGTATTCTGGCCTGAAATATTGGGTAAATAGTGGTGGCATTTATGGAAATGGAAAGATAAAAGAGCAGATTTGTAAGCAAGAGTGAAGAGTAGGGAGAGTAGAGAATTTTAGGATAAGGAATGAGCATATGCGCTTTGTAAAAGCTTGAGATAATCTGGATACACTTTTCCCTGCTCACACCATCAAGTTGAGAAACAACTAGCTACTGGAACCAGGGTGCATTCCCAGTAAGCTAAGAACATTAGATTACTCAACTTCTACACAAAGGGCAGAAAGAATCTTTACCTAGAGAGATGACAGTCTCATAGTTTTCCTGCATTACATCATTGTAGAGAGTCTTCTGACTGATATCCAGTAATTCCCATTCTTCCTGGGAAAAATACACGGCCACTTCTTCAAATGTCAATAAGCTCTAAAGAAGAGAATGGGCTTTAGCTTAGTACTGGCCACTCCAGAAGCAGCCCTAACATCCAGCCCACAAACTATATGGTAGGCCAGGCACTGAAGGAATAAACAATACATGATTTTTTTTTTTTTTAAGTGAAAAGGCAGAAAGGAAGGAGGCAAGGGATCAGCAAACAGTCTGGGAGGTGTCCAATTACCCAGGGAGAATATCTAGGCTAAATGCCTCTAAGCACCTGCTGGGCAGTATGGGTCATGGGCAGCAGGGAAAGGCAGCCCTGAAGAGCTCAAAAGCACAGCTCACCTGGGACTCAGGCAAGATGAGCTCAGGTGCCACTGTCCAGTCTTTGGTGTTTGTCTGCTCAGGAAAGCCTAGGATCTGGTGAGCAGGCACAGCTATGGGTGGAAAAGAGCCATCAGAAATTTCTCTCACTTCTATGCACATCCTGCGCTCATTTCTAAAATAAAGAAAATCTTGATTCTTTCAGTAGATGGGAAACCTTTATAAGTGTGAAATGGCCTTATCATTGTAAGAACCAAGTATCTATCAATCCCCAGAACAGGCTGCCCAGTTTTCATGAGTGAAATGAATAAAACAAAAACCATTAACTTCCTCTCATGACATAAATAGTTCCGAGTTAAGAAAATTTTAACAGATTTGAAAATGAAATACTCATGGACTCCAGTGTACAGTAGGAGACGTATTGTTTATCATTTATTTATTTTCATAGTACACAATTATAGTTCACATACTGCCACTGACAGCCCATTTGTGATCCCAATTCCTTCTGTGATTTGAGGATGGGGTGGCCCAATCCTCCACTTTTCTAAGGAACAGTGTTCATGGTGTTATTACCAGGGTCCTCTGGTTTGGATATTTCTGTACCTTAGGCCAATCCCCTCCTTCACAACAGCTGGTCTATTCTAAGGCCATCTGTGAGGGGTGGGGGTAGGGGTAATCATAATTGCTAACATGACTACATTTGCACATCCACAAAGCTGGGAACCCAGAAAGTGCTCACAATGTTCTGGCTGGACAAATTACTATGACAGCTCCCAGCAGAAAGAAATTATCATGAAGCTCCTTACCCCTCTCACACATAGGCTCAGTTTCTTTATGAGTATTCCTGCTCAGCTGTTGTTGATCCTGATATTCATTCCAAAATTCTTCATCCTGGGACCTGCCCACTGGCTGGGACTCTGCTGGCCTCAGTTTGAAGCCTGAGGTCTCTGCTGTTTCTCCCAAGAGCACTGCCTCCTTTCCCAGCACATGGACTGCAACCTAGAAATAATTCCCATCCATGTTACCAGAACTTACTTGAGGCTTGGGGCTGTGGAAGAGGGAGGAGAAAGCAGAGTCCAGATTGTGGGAAGTATGAGACACTAAAGGAAATGACAAAAAGACTTAAGGAGATAATGGGCTAGGCGGCATGGCTCAGTGGTTGAGCATCAGCCGATGAACCAGGAGGTCAGCTGATTCCCTGTCAGGGCACATGCCCAGGTTGTGGGCTCGATCCCCAGTAGGGGGCACGCAGGAGGCAGCTGATCAATGATTCTCTCACATCACTGATGTTTCTCTCTCTCTCCCTCCCTCTTCCTCTCTGGTATCAATAAAAATATATATTTTTAAAAACTTAAAAAAAAAAGACATAATGGGACACCAATTTTTCACGAAGAGCTATCTAGCTGGTCTGGCTCAGTGAATAGAGCGTCGGACTGCAGACCTAAGGGTCTTGGGTTTGATTACGGTCAAGAGCACATACCTTGGTTGCAGGCTTCTCCCTGGCCCTAGTCAGGGAGTGTGCAGGAGGCAACCAATAGATGTGTTTCTCTCATGTCAATATTTCTATCTTTCCTTCTCTTTTCCACTCTCTTAAAAAAATCAATGGAAAAATATCCTTGGGTGAGGATTAAAACAAACAAAAAAAACAAAACTATCCACAAATGTGGAAAAGTCAGGATAAAAGGAAAAAGATGTGGCTACTGCCAGCCCTCCAAAAGAGTACTCCCTACTCCTCTATATATAGCCCAGCTCAGACTACTAGCAGGGTTGTACAGGCTGCCTATTCTCATGCTGTCTTGACAGCATCTCTCTTTTCACTTAGATCCCTGCTGGATTTCTTATCTTATACTTTCTTCAAAATATTAAAAAATTTAACTGTCCAAGATTTTCTCCATGGCCAGGAAAGGTTTTACAGAGAATGTGGATAAAATGGAGAAGGGGAAAGAATGATTCTGACTGTGACCTCTCTCCAGATGTTCTTGACACCAAACATATGCCCTGCCCTGTATTCTTGACAGTAGGCCTGAAGCCAGTTGATATGATTCCCACTCACCAGCAGAGCCAAGGACCAACCACTAAGGGAGGGCAGTGGAGGCTCTTGTCTATTGTAGGAAGGACACTATCTCTCTGTCTTTCTTCTCTGTCACTCTGTTGGGATTTCCAAATCTTTGTTTCCATTTTTTTAAATTTATCCTTTCTTCCTCTGCAGTCTTCCCTACTAACTTTTTGGTTTCTCTTTCTTTTTACTATCTTTTCCTTTCATCTTTATATGTTCTCCCTATTTTAGATCTGCCCCTTCTTCTCCAATTTCTTGTTGCCCTTTGTTTCTTAGAACTTAAGACCCATCTCCTACACCAAGCCAGACTCAATATATTCTGGCTCCAAAGAGGGGAAAATGCAACTCTCTCTATGGCCAAGGAAGTCTCTGCCAGAATCTCCAACACCTGTGGAATGACTATTGCTGCGGATCAGTGGTTTCAGGTCCTGCCTTAGATGGCCTAAAGCAACAACAGATCATTGATCTAATTCATCTTACTTCTCAGTTAACTGCCCTTAACCCCATTTATCTATTTTCATTCTATATCACTGTTATTGTTAATCAGGAATCTTCTCACCCCAGTCTTCGTTTGACCAGATTCACTCTGCAAGTGGTCTACCAAGGCCATAGCCTCTTCAATGCTCTGTAGGTGGTGCTTCTTTATCTGGGTCTGAGTATCCCTGGGCAGAATGTTCAGGAACTGTTCTAGCACCAGCAGATCCAAGATTTCTTCTTTTGAGTGTATGTCTGGCCTCAGCCATTGACGGCATAATTCCTGAAGTTGGCCAACAGCCACACGGGGTCCAGCTGCTTCCTGATAGTGGAAATTCCGGAAGTGTTGGCGAAAGCTCTCAGGACTGAGACTGTCCATTTGTGCAGTATATTTTTTACTCTGAGAGGAGCTCTCTGTCACAGGTCCCTTGGTCTCCCACAGAGCCCTGATCTGAGGGTTCAAGTACTCAGCCACTTTTAGATCTACCATCATCATTCTGCTGGAACAGTTGTTCCTGTGGGCACACCACCAGTACTACCTCTGACAACTAAGGCCCAGTCTGGTCTGGAATAAAATCAATAAAAGGATCTTCTTCCTAAGGCACCAAGGACAGAAAAAAAGCAGGTCAATAAGAAAATCACATGAACTTTACTACTTGCTACTTATTGTGAGAGAAAAATGAAAACATCCTGCTTGTCTTCTCTTTAAAATCAACTGCCAGGCAGGCCCTTGGTTTCTCTCCTTTTCTTTATATTATTCAGTTGATCTATAAGACAGCTCATTAAAGACAAATGTCAATTGATGACTTTGAACTTACAAGAAAATAATAAATCAGTGAAAACTGGTGGGTGAGAAAATTGGCACCCAATGACTTCAAAGAGTTTGGGGATTATCCAGAGTTCATTGATGTGCTTCCTATCATGTAAAAAAAAAAAAAAAAAATTATGGAAACATTCTGAGTTTCTCTTAAATTTTAATATATCTCCTAGCCTTCTGCTTTTAATAAGAGGTACAAGTTCTATGACCCTCCATCCTCTTGTGATGATTGAAGCCTTCACTTCGTGGAACATTTGAGACTCTCCTTTACTTGCATGAATATTGGCAGCAGACAGACAGTGAGACCAGAGTAGAAGGAACGTAATTAGGGAAAAAGTAGCCTTTTCTTCTCAGAAAGCATCCCCCAATTAAGTAACTGAGATGCTCAACATTCTTTTTTGGCCCTTCTTTGCAAGACCTATTAAGGGCACTACGCAGAAGATTTATACCTGTATTTTAAAATGTCTGTTTACTTCCACTAGGAAAAATCACAGCCGACCTTTCTTTACAAAATGTATGTCCAAATACCAAGTCGTAAAAAGGGGGGAAATAGCAGTTGGTGATGATTAGGCTGACCCTTCCGCTGATATTACGTTTCGAGGGTCTTTCAGACTTCTACGGAGCCTACAGAGAGCTTCACAAGCCTCCCTCTCCCTGGGTGATGCAGCAGAACCGGCCCGAGCTTCTGTGCAGGATGCACGGTTCACAAATGAATGGCCGGCTGCTTGCTGTGCACCCGGCTCGGGAGGCCCGGGGACTTCTGCCTCAGAAGAAAGGATCTTCTTAGGCTGAACTGCGGCTCCCTGGCGGTTAACATCAGCAGTAATGCCTCCCCAGCCTCCCCTCCCCCCTTGCCCCCCCCCGCCCCCTCCCCCGCCTAAAACAAAACAAAACACGCCAGCAGAGGCGGAAACTTAGACATTCTGAGGGCATTCGGGATTCGTGAGCCCCGCGCCAGCGGGCAGCGTACCAGCGTGCCGCCGCCGCCGCCGCCGCCGCCGCGGGCCCCGGAGTTATCAGCGCAAAGGGCAGAAAGAGCGCCTCCGGAGCCTAACGGCCGGCCTCGCCCGAGACAGGCTCTCGTCGCTGGGCTACCGGAAATAGCGTCTCGCCTCCAACCACCTTGCAGTGGCCTCGAGCAGAGGCCGGCAGGTCTCTGAGGCTCCGCAGCCGACGCCGAAGGGGAGTCGATTTAGTTACCTCAGACAGCTGCGTTTCGTGAGGGCCGCTCCCTCATCCTCCGACGCTACCGCAAGTCGCCGCACTTCCGGCGGCTTCTCCAGGACCGCAGCTATCGGCTTCTCGGCACTCAGAGGGGGTCCAGAGAACCGAGAAGTGCGGATGCAAGGTCACAGGCCTAACAGGCCCGACGGACGTACCGGACACCTCGCCCGCCTGGGGCCTTCTCTACGCAACGGTCTGAAACCCGCGCTCCTACCGGAAGCGGAAGTGGTGCACTTCCCGACTGGCTCTGCCGCCCAGCTGAGTCAGCCGGCCTGCGCTGGGGCTACAGGCTTCGCGGAAGGAACCTACCTAGTCCTGTAGGGTTCAGCCCTTGCGCCGGAAGAGTTAATGCTACCCGGTCTCCAGGTTGTGGAGCCTAGAAGGACCCTGCGCGCAGCTCGGCCCGTAGGTGTCGCGGTCTCGCGGCCTGGCTCTGAGGCGGTGAGCGTCGGGGTGGTTCCTGAGTCCCCTTAGGAGGCCTGCGGCCGAGTTACCGGGAGCCCCGCCGCCGAGTTACCGGGAGCCCCGCCGCCGAGTTACCGGGAGCCCCGCCGCCGAGTTACCGGGAGCCCCGCCGGGTAAAGGTCGCCGCCCGCTAGTCTCGCAGGGTCCTCGGCCTTCTTGGCCCAGCTGGCCGCACCCGAGCTTTCGTCCCTAGCGCATCACTGCCTCGAGAAGGAAGCCTTTTTGTTCCGTTCAGGATCAGCGGACCCGAGGTTACCCCGTTTGGAGCTGTGCATCTCACAATTGTTTTTTCTTGTGAGGTATGTGGAATAGGTTACATTTATAGTTCTCCATGACAGAAATTGAGAGCTAAGAGGTGACTTGCGAGGGTCACATAACTTACCATTGGCCGCTCCTAGACTGTAATTTAGTTTCCCTGTTGTCCTTTTTCAGGACAGCGTGCTTCCTGCAGAATGGGAACCTTCTTTTTATCTTGTATTTCCTTCAGTGTGTGGCCGAATTACCTGATTAAGATGTGCATTCCACAAATATTTACTAAGTCATATTCAAAGGAATCTTAGTATTTCGTTTTGGTTTTGTTCTAATTACTAGTGTTTTCATAGTACCAGTCTCTACCAGTCAAGGAATTATTTAAGTCTACCAGGTATAGTCAGTGTTACAAACTTCATAGAACAATGTATTTTAATCAAGGAATCTGGCAGAAGTACTCAGGCAATTTCATGAATATCAGTATCACAGGGTAGGAAAAGGGAGGACTTTAGCTGAACGCTGAAGAAATTCCAAGGAAATGGACGTTGAATTTTGGTTGGGGAAAATTATAAGGTACCGATTTTCAGCCAATGTGCTGCAAGAATTTTAAAAACATTCAATACCTGACTATTTAGTCAGGGGCACTGACCTGTTTTCCCTTACATTGTCAAAAAAAAAAAAATGACAGCATCCAACACAATAGCTGTCCAATGTGAATGAATCATAATTCATTCTCCATGACAGAAATATTTTTGTCAGATTAGCAAAAAATATAATACATGCCGAAACCGGTTTGGCTCAGTGGATAGAGCGTCGGCCTGCGGACTGAAAGGTCCCAGGTTCGATTCCGGTCAAGGGCATGTACCTGGGTTTCGGGCACATCTCCAGTAGGAGATGTGCAGGAGGCAGCTGATCGATGTTTCTCTCTCATCGATGTTTCTAACTCTCTATCGCTCTCCCTTCCTCTCTGTAAAAAATCAATAAAATATATTTAAAAAATATATAATACATTTTTTGGTGTGCTGTAGGAATTTAGTGATTACTTATGTGTGCTGTGAGATTAAAAAGGTTGCAAATAAGGGGGGGCGTAACATAAAAGCATAGCCTTGAAAAGCCAGAGAGATTAGTGTGTGAAATTTTTAGTATTTTTATTAAATGTAACTGCTACATTTAGGGAAAGAAAGTTAGAAAATAAGTTCATGTAGATCTATGTACTTTGAATGGAAGTGAAGAGAAATGCGTTTAATAGAGCATATATCAGAGCATCATTTGAAGGTTTTTGAGGGAGCTTCTTTCTAGGGTGTTCATCTGGAGGTAAGTTTAAGGTGGAAATGAAAATGAGAGACCACTAACCAGGCCATTATGCTATTTTGCTTTTAGATAGAATGGTGTTACACTCCTCTGAGGCATAGATCTTGATCCTTTTTGAGTGAGAAGAAGATTAAACGTGATAACTATAGGCATCTGCCTAAGTCGCTTGCTTATGTTTCAAAGCATTTCCATTTCCTTAGTATCTACCAGGTTGGGACTTAGTTTCTTCAAGTCATTATTGTTTCCAGTCTCTCAGAACCAGTGGACAGTGATGCTTTTAGCATTGAGATTCTCATCAGCTGTCCCAAAGCTGAACACATGATTGGAACTTATTGAATTGAATAAATGAAGTTCTGCTAGCAGTGCCTTTTGATGTCATTGGCAGACCTTATTCATAGCATGGGTAGGGAGTTGGTTAGGGAAGTGGGAGAAGAGACCCTGTGAAAGAAAGAAAAGAAAACAAGGCACAAAATGGTGAATAGTGAATAAGGGCCACCGATGATTTTCACTGGTTGAAGTTTGAGGCCATAGTTACTTCTTGCTGTGGAGCCCATAAAAGTTCCCTGAGTCTTTCCTTTGATCTCACCTTCTCCTACCTGATCATGGTTTGAGAAAATGATGAATGCACAGGTGGGGAGCAATGAAAGCAAATACATGGAGTTTATTTTGAGACACCACCCAACTGCCATTGCAGGCTGAGTATTTTTGCTGGGTAATTGGCTGGACTTAATAGTGCTACTGTTGACTGAAAAACTTTTTTTTTTAGAATTGCCTTAGTTATAGCTTCCTCTTTTACAAGGTTGCTTGATCTTAGCCTGTAACTACCTCCACACCATATTAACTATGATATTCTTTCATGATCTTAGTGCTCCATAAACCAGTGGCACTTCTTGCAACCAATGTTAGAGGAAAACTAATGGTTAGGCTCTTCTGGACTCCTAGATAAGCGGCTTGTGAGAATTCTGTTAGTTGAGGAATGGCTGAAAGCCAGTCAGGCTCTTCCCTAAAGGAGTGGAAAAATAACTAAAATTCATTTTTATCATTTCCCTGACACTTTTTTTTTCATAGCACCTGGAATGGAATAAAAATGGTAGTTTTTGTTACTTCCCAGGAAGTTCTATATCTGGAATGAGAACCATGAAATTAATAGAGTAAGACATTTCTAAGGAATAAATGGAATTGAGCAGCACCAAGAGGACCTGAATGGACTACTTGAGTGAGCTGAGCTACAGAAGACTTTGCCAGCAGAAGGATTTATGGGAAACAATTGATCAGAAATACCAGTAGAGAAACTTTTTTAAATTTTCCAAGCAGTGGAAAAATTGAGTCTTGGTTCAAATTAAACAAAATCTACACTGAAGAGAAACCAAATAAAGTCTCAAATATAAAATGTGTATTATTTAAAACCCTAATGTAAATTTAGGAAAACAAACAAAAAAACGGATCTTTAAAAATTTTTTAACTTTTTAATTATGGTGAAATACTTATAAAACTATTACACTCACCTCTAAGAATTGCCATGATTCTGAAACTTGCTAATATCCCACATATGAAAGTTTTGTTGAAAAATAATACTTGAGAATACACCAGATGTACACAAGGAAGATCTGAGAGTGGAAAGGTGCCAGTAACAAATTATTTGCCTTCTTACAGATGACTTTGTTAAAGATCAGTCTTTGAGAATGCTATATTGAATGTAATCAAAGTTGGATTTCATTCATATGGACAGCAGAAACTACTAACTTTCTTTTTCACGTAAAGATATTTATAACTGTTACTGAATTCTAGCTCTCTAGACATCCCAATGTCAGGGTAAGCTTGGAGTCTATCCAGGTGGATGGGCTGCTGCCCAGTGAACACTACATACAGAGCAATATGAACATTTTCTTTTCTGGCAGTGAGGTAAAATCAGGTACTTTTGGAAGAGGAGGAGCCTCACTGCATCTCTGCTACACAAGATTACTCTGTCCTTGCCTTTGAAGCTTCCACATTCCCATGTTCTCAAGCACCATTAAAAAAAAGTTTTATTTATTAATTGATTTTAAATAAAGAGGAGGGGAGAGAGAGAAACATCGATTTGTTGTCCACTTACTTATGCACTTATTGGTTGATTCTCTTTTTTTAAATATATTTTTTGTTAATTTCAGAGAGGAAGGGAGAGGGAGAGAAACATCAATGATGAGAGAGAATCATTGATCGGCTGCCTCCTGCACGCCCCCTGCTGGGGATGGAGCCCACAACCCAGGCATGTGCCCTTGACCAGAACCCTTCAGTCTGCAGGCAGACACTCTATCCATTGAGCCAAACCAGCTAGGGCTATTGGTTGATTCTTGTATGTGCCCTGACGATATGGAATCCACAACCTTGGCATATTGGGACAATGCTCTAACCAGCTGAACTACCTGGCCAGCGCCTCAGCACCACTTTTTTGGTTGTTGCTAATCCTGATCTGATGATTTTTAAAAAAATATATTTTATTGATTTTTTACAGAGAGAAAGGGAGAGGGATAGAGAGTTAGAAACATCGATTCAGCTGCCTCTTGCACGCCCCCTACTGGGGATATGCCCGCAACCCAGGTACATGCCCTTGACTGGAATCGAACCTGGGACCCTTCAGTCTGCAGGCCGACGCTCTATCCGCTGAGCCAAACCAGTTAGGGCCTGATGATATTTTTTCCATTGATTTTTTAGAGAGAGTGGAAGGATAGGAGGAAGGGGAAGAATGAGAGAGGGAGAAACATCCATATGTGAGAGACATATCGATTGGTTTCATGCACCCTGGGGATTGAAGCTGCAACCTAGGTACATGCCCTTGGCCAGGAATCGAATCCATGACCCTTCAGTGCGCAAGCTGATGCTCTAACCACTGAGCACACTAGCCAGGATGAGCACCATTTTTTATTGAGGCTTGTCTCACCTGGGTCTTTACTTGTGAGCACAATTTGCCTACTCTCTTCCTTGTGTCTTTTTCTGTGTTGACTTAGAGTATGCAGGTATTCCTGTTACTCCTGACTGGTTCTGCTATATCTGTTGAGGGAGAAGAGGAGCAGGGAAGTTCTGAAAACTGATCATCCATGTCTTGAAGGAGTGAAAGCAAGAGAGGACTTTATAAGTGGCAGCTTTCTGAGTTCATAATACCTTTACTTCTAGACTAACACTTTAATAATAAGCCCTTATCCCTTTAGCTCATTATCCTTCAATTCAAATGCCTGTGCCTTCTAGGGCATTAAGCTAGTTTTGGGTTTTTTGTTTTGTTTGAATGTTTTTTTCCAATTCAGTAAGGTTTTTCCCTTTTCTCCTGTTGGTTATTTAAAACCAAACTCAGTATGAAAAAGAGGGAAATATACAGCATTGAATTTGGAGGATAAAATGAAGATTCTAAGTAGGATTGAAGCTGGATGATCTCTTAAAAGTGTAAAGGATGAATTTGGAATCAATAAATCAACATTTTATGACATTAAAAAGAGTAAGAAATTTATTTTGGACTTTGTACTGAAGCAAGACATGCCATTAGTTGGGGCTGAGAAGAGAAAGAAGACAACAGGAACCAAATATGGTGATGTGGACAATGCTGTCTACATATGATATCAATAGAAACACTCAGCTAGTGTTGCTGTTAGAGGTGTGGAGCTTCAGACTGCTGCAGAGATTCGCACAGTGTTTTGGGCAAACAGACTTCAAAGCTAGTACTGGTTGGCTTTTTATTATTTATTTTTTGTTGAAAGTATTACATATGTCCCCCTTTCCTGCCCCCCTGTCCCTCTCCCCAGTGACCCCTCCAGCCCTCCTCCTACCCGCCCACTCCCCCACCCACATTGGGAACCGAGAAATATGAGTGGAGTAAGTCTTAAGTTCAGTTTCAGAAACTGTTGAGCCATTTCAACAAAAATTGTCCATACTTATCAAAGAGGAGAAACTGTGTCTAGCTCAACTATACAGTGGGGGTGAGACTGACCTCTTTTGGAAATCAGTGCCAAAGAACACTCAAAGTAGAAAAGATGTCTGCCTGCCTGGAAGGAAAATACACAGAGAACAGTTATCTGCTCTCTTATGTGCAAATGCAGATGGCACTCATAAGTTAAAGTCTCATTATTGGAAAATCAAAGCTGCCCAAAAATGTGAAAGAGGACACAAGTACATTACCTGTTATATATAAACCTAGTAAAAATGTTTGGTTCACCAGAGAATTATTTTCAGAATGGTTCTTTCAAAATTTTGTCCCTGAGGTCAAGCATTTTCAACTTAACTTTCTAAGATTCCATGAAGAGGATGTTAGAGCTTGTTACTTCTGGACAATTCCCCAGTTCACCTTTCTGCTGAATCACTAACTAGTGAGGATGGTCGAATAAAATGCATGTTCTTTCCCCACAACACTTCAACCTTGATTCAACCAATGAACCAAGGTATGATCTTAAGCTGCAAACAACCTTATAGGTGGAAGCAACTTGAAGAGAGTCTTGTAATTTTTTTAAGAAAGTGATGATGAGCCCTAGCCAGTTTGGCTTAGTGGATAGAGCATCGGCCCTCGGACTGAAGGGTCCCAGGTTCAATTCCAGTCAAGGGCATGTACCTTGGTTGCGGGCACATCCCCAGTGGGGGGTGTGGAGGAGGCAGCTGATCAATGTTTCGCTCTCATCGATGTTTCTAACTCTCTATCCCTCTCCCTTCCTCTCTGTAAAAAAATCAACAAAAATATATATTTTTTAAAAATAGAAATAAAGTTTTAATCAGAAGTGCCTGCAAGCTAGATTGAAGGCTAAAAGAAAATGTTTCTAATAAATGTACTTTTTAAAAAAAATTTAATCCTCACCCAAGGATATTTTTTCCATTTTTATAGATTTTTATAGAGTGGAGAGGGAAAGATAGAAATATTGGTCAGAGAAACACATCTATTGGTTGCCTCCTGCACGAGCCCTGCCCAGGGAGGAGCCTGCAACCAAGGTTATGTGCCCTTGACCAGAATCAAACCTGGCTGGTGCTCTATCCACTGAGCTAAACTGGCTAGGGCTAATAAATGTACTTTTGGTTTAACTCATCTTGCTATTCTTGAGCTCCTAACACTTAACTTAGTTAGGAAGTCTCCTAATGCTAATAAATTTGCTAGTTGGTTTCCTATAACATACATCAAGACTTTTTACATGCTTTGTTTCAAATGCTTGTGAAACATTTACAAAAATTACAAGTCTTAAAACAGTGGTGATTTTGCCTATTTCAAATATGTATTAGTTGATAATTCTATGATTATCAGTAGCAAATAGCAACAGTAATGATTCAATAGTCATTTCAGAGTATGATGTTGACACCAGTAAATTCTTTCATTCTTACAATAAAAACTCTTAAAATTTCTGATGAGTTTTCTTGGGAAGAAACCCCCAAACAAAATTTAATGCTTGTTTAATGTCTAGTCTCTGGTGCTAGTCTTTGTCCTCACTGCTGTCTGCCTGCTTTTAGTCTGCCTCTGCCAGGCATTTTCACATTGTTTAAATGTATTACTGATTCTCCACTTAGGAGCCTTTCTGCTGGTCTCCTGTGCTACATTTACTATATGGATGTGTAGCTATTGCTCAGGGTCAGGCCACATCTCCTTTGTACCCATTTGAACTTAGGGGGCAGGGGTGTTTATTGCATCATTCTCCTTTGGCATAAAAGCCAGTTGGAATCTGTTCTAGTTAGAGTCTGCAGTAAGGAAGGACCTCTAAGGGAAGACCTCATCAAGCCTGCCTGCAGTATCAGACTGCTCCCTGAAGTTCTTCCAATGTGGTCTTACATTGATCTCAGCACCAGGGGGCTTAGAAGACAGTCCTCCAAATACCTAACCACAGATGGCACAAACAGGTGCATACTTTCTATGTGCTAGGCACTGTGCTAAATGTTTTTTACATGCAATAATTTGTGATATTATCTCATGAAAGAAGGCCAAGAACCACTATGCATCTGAAATTTGCTAGAAAGGGAGCTACACTGGGACTGAGTAAAGGCTCCTATTGGAAAGCCTTTCAGTGGCAAAAGCAAATACCTGGGAGTCCTTGTTGCTATAAGCCTCAAGCTGCAATGCTCCAAGTAGGAGCAACACCAGTTGGACACATCATAAGATCAGGAGGAGCGACAGTGAAGGGGGAGGGGCACTTTCTATTCTTATAAGATTTACAATGCATACAGGTTGTGATCTTAACCAGAGAATGCTTATTAACATCAGCTTGATACCACCCACCAATTTCATGGCATTAGCAACCACATCGTCCCTGTCCCACTCCTACCACTGTGGATCCTACACAAATCTCTCAAATCCTTAACGCCCCTCCCCGCCCCCCCCCACACCACCACTGCCCTCTTGTGGATAAGAGAAAGGCAGAGAAATAAATAAGATTTTTTTTTTTAATATATCCCATCGAAGGGAGAGGGAGTTAGAAACATCGATTAGAAAGATCGATCAGCTGCCTCCTGCACGCCCCCTACTGGAGATGCTCCCGCAACCAAGGTACATGCCCCTGACTGGAATTGAACCTGGGACCCTTCAGTCTGCAGGCCGAGGCTCTATCCACTGAGCCAAACCGGTTAGGGCAAAACAAAGATTTTTAAAAATTTGGCTCAGAAAACCAAGGAAGAACTCAATTCTAAACTGAGGCAGGGCTGAGGCCAGACTAACAAAAATGGGTGGGGCACAAAGGGTTCTTTTTCTCACTTAAAATTGCTAATTTGATAGCTGGTTTCCAATGGAATGTTTTGTTTCCCAAACAGCAGCTAGTTAGATATTTTCCTGAGATGTTTTCAAGGCATCAGGATGTCCTCCTAGAATACCTCCTTGTTTTCTATCCCTTTCCTACAGGCATACACTCCTAAAACTCCTATTCCTGATTACCCATTCTAAAATATAATGCTTTCTCCTAATAATTTTGCCCTTTCTCCACTAATGGGCAATAATTCAGTTATAGTAGGACCATCTTTTCCTGGGAATCATTTGTAAGACCAAAATATCCTGTCTCTGAAGAGCCCGATCTTCCTTCAGCTACTTCTCAAGAAATAAAACATTATAAACAAAAAAATCAGATACTTTCACTGCTGTACACTACAGAAGAAAACCTCAGAGACCATTATGACATCATCACCCCAAACCCACTGAGTTTGACCCTTTGTTACCATGCCACACCCTACCTCAACCTGTCTGCTGCCACCTTTGTGGGACAACTTCTTGACCAACACAGCAAGACCACAAAGAGAAAGCAGGTCCTCAAAACAGATCAACACTGGAGGCCAGGACACTTTCAATGAAGAGTCACACACTTTCATGTTTCTTGAAGGTATTTATTACCATCCAAACATATTTCCAACAGGGAAAGGCATGATCCCTAATTTCCCTAAAATCTGTTTTCAAAGTCGTCTAGGGAACCCTTCTTACATAACCCTCTGAAGACTCCAGAGTTCTGTTTATCCTTCTCTGACAGAGGTGGGGGAAGTCTTGATCTCTGAACAGGTTAGAGTAATTCAGATTCCAGTTCCCTCTGCCAATTCCTAGGCTGACCTGCAAATTCCTTCTTACTATTTCCCTTAGGTCTCTGGGTCCTTTTTGTCTGAGGTGACAATGACATTCATGGCCTGCCAATGGCCCTCCTGTGAGGCCCATTGAGGTGCACTGTGGCTTCCCTGTCAAGGCCTTTTGGAGAGCTACAACCAACCACCAGTCTTTCTTTGACCTCAAGCTGGTTTCCCAGGAGATTTAGCCCCTTTTCTTTGGTCTTAAGGGCCTCAGAAGTTCAAATACTTCTGCTGAATGTCCCAAGTGAGGAAGCAGTAACAAAAAGGTCATATAGATTCCCAAAGTTGCTGGGAAAGACAAGACTAATTAAGGCATCCAAATCACAATGTGGCCAAATATACCAAGGGGGTAGGCACCATGAGACAAGGTGGACTTCATAGAGAATTCTGCCCTGAGCAGGTCACCTCAAAGATTTTTCATCCTCACTAGTTCAGACAGAATTCCATTTTAGTTTGATGCTAGTCCTTTGCTGCCTCTGCTTCTCCCTTGCAATGACTCCCCCCACCCCCCCCACACACATACCCATCCTTGTTACTCTTTACAGTAATTACCTCAAAAACAGATGATTTCACCCAGCCCCTTTGGCTCAGTGGTTGAGTGTTGACCTATGGACCAGAGGTTACAGTTAGATTCCTGGTCAGTGCACTTGCCGTGTTGTGGGCTCCATCCCTAGTGGGGGGAAGGGGGACGGGGACGGGGACGGGGACGGGGGGGTGGGGGGGGGGGCTAGCGGCGCGTGCAGGAGGCAGCCCATCAATGATTCTAATCATTGATGTTTCTCTCTCTCCTCTCCCTTCCTCTCTGAAATCAATAAAATAAATTTAAAAATAAAACAACACAGATGATTTCGGTCAGCAGGGCAAGAAATACCAGCTCTCAACAGCAGACCCCTCTGAATATGCCACATTATCTGTGGTGAAATGAAACTCCATTGTTTCTATCTGGTGTGAGTTTTCTGATGACTCATAAGGCGTGAACTCCGAGAAAAGCTTTCTCCACATTCAGAACATTTATAGGGTCTCTCTCCTGTATGGGTTCTCAGATGACGAATCCGATTGGAGCTGTGAGAAAAACTGTCTCCACACTCATGACAGGTATAGGGTTTCTCTCCTGTGTGAATTCTCTGGTGCCTGATTAAGTTGGATCTATGAGAAAAGTTTTCCCCACAAAGGGTACATTTATATGGTTTCTCTCCTGTGTGCGTTCTCTGATGTCTGGTGAGGTGCATGCCCTGCCGGAAGCTTTTCCCACAGGTCAAACATTCAAAGAGTTTCTTCTCTGTTTTGTGGGTTCCATGATTTGTAAGAAAGGAGCTGCTGTCACTCATTGCTTCCCCACACTCGGAGAAGGGGAAAAGCCTCTCTTTCTCATGAGTTCTTTCATGTATGACAAGGTGGGAACTTCGAGAGAAACTTTTTCCACACTCAGCACACTTATAGGGTCTCTCTCCTGTGTGAATTCTCTGGTGCCTAAGGAGATTGGAACTGTGAGCAAAAATCTCGCCACACTCAGGGCACTTGTAAGGCTTTTCACCGGTGTGTGTTCTCTGGTGTCTGTGGAGATTGGAGTTGCAAGAGAAGCTTTTTCCACATACATTACACTGATAGGGCTTCTCGCCTGTGTGGGTGCGTTGATGGCGAGTCAGGTGGGTATTCTGACTGAAGCTTTTTCCACATTCAAGGCACTTATGGGCCTCCTCTCCAAAATGTGCTCTGTGTAGTGATAAAAAATGTGGGCTCCCACCAAAGATTTCACCACACTCTACACCCATACACAGTCTTTCTGCTGCATGTATTCTCTGGTGCCTAATTAGATTTGAGTTACTAGAGAAATTTTTGCCACACAAGGGACATAAATGGAGCTTCTTCGGCTGCAGTTCCTTTGGCCGGCCTGCTTCTCTGCAACTTGTGGCTCCCACTATGGACTGCTCCATCTGATCCTCTGGGGGAAGCTCCCAATGCCCTTCTGCCCTGTCCCCAGGCTGTCCCTGCTCAGGACTCCAGGGCACCTCCCCTCTGGCCTGGCCAGTCAGAAGCACCTGCAGATGGATGTTCTCAGGAGAAATAGACTGAGCACTTTCTTCCCGGCTCTCAAATTTCTCTTCTGGTAAAGTGAGAGAAACCAAACCCTACATTATTTTTACCATAAAGAAAATCCCATATGCCCACTACTGCCAGTAGGTTAGAAGTCCAGAAAGACTGGCTGTATCTGTTTTCTATTTTCCCCATACAGGGAAAACACTCTAGAGAGGTATCTGGATAAAAGGTGGGGCCATTGGTCAGGAACCAGAGCTCAGACCAGTCTTATTCCCTTATAGGGGCCCCTATATCCCTCTTCAACTGAGCCTCTAGCTCTGCCCTTCAGAAATGGGTGGGATGGAGCAGGGCTGAGACTAGGATGGGCAAATGAACCCAGGAGTGAATACTTCCTTATGTTTTGAACTCTGGGTGCCTTGCCTGCCTCACTGGGATGAAAGTGGGCAGTGGGGACACAGGACCTTCCTGGCAGCAGTGATGGACTAGCCCCACACCCAAACCCTCAAAGGTCTTACTCCCAACAAGGGGAAACTAGATGGGCAAGCTCCTCAAGTTCCTTACCTGGAGCTGGGTTTCTGGGGCTCAGTCCCTCCTTGCATATCTGGGCACTGGGCTCCCATGGTTTTCTTCCTTGTTCCACCTGGATGCTCAGGGCCTCCTGATTGGGAACCTGAGATTCTGTTCACAATGAAAGATATCGATTTTTGTGTCACCACATTCCCCCACCAAGCAGAGGAAGCACAGACAGTCATGTTCCCTGTCCTCTGTGAGTAGATACAGAGGGTAAAATAAGTCTGAAATATACATTAACCTGCTAAACTGTTCTCAGTGGTTACCTCTACAGAAAGAAATTGGGGGAAGACTATAGCTTTTTTCTTTTTACACTTTTGTAGTACTTGGGATTTTTCTGCAATGAGAATGTACTTTTGTAATTAAAACAACCAAACCAAAATGGTCAGAGTGGTCAGTTCCTTAAGTAATCAGTTTAATATTGTAAAAGAGCCTTGACTCTTACGTATAGAGATAGAATTTAGTCTGACTGGCCAACTCCAGAAGAGGAAACTATATATGATGGACATCAGAAAGGATCTGGAGATCTAAACGACC